GCAGACTTCGCTTGAGGCTTTATTATTGCAACGCGCGAGTGTTGAATGCTTTAAATACCGGAATTTATCAGATCACTAACAACTAGCTGCTCAATTGAAATATATATGCACAGGATGAACCATACCAGATAAAACAAAAGACATCAAAAAGTGACTTTGAAACACATACCGCAGCGGCTTGCCTTCATAATCAATGCCGTTGTTTTGAAGAGCAATTGGCACAGAAGTCTGATTGGTAAATTCGACATAAGCATACGCGCAGGGAAGCGTATCAGGTCCGGTAGCCATTCGTAAGTACATAACCTTACCAAACATACAGTTATTAGGAAAACAATGAGTCACTCTCGAATCTACAGGGAATTTCTACCTCTCCTACGAAATTGTTGAAAAAGTCTAGTACTGCTTGGCCATCTACACCCTTTGGAAGATTCCCCACATAAATTGTCCGTCTTATTTCTTCTACTTTCGCCAAATCGGTATTTCCAGGTAAAGGTGGATAGGCAGGCAGACCAAGCGCTTCCATCTGTGGATCCACTGTAAGTAACTGAAATAAATAGTTATAGCAGATATAGTATAAAAAGGGAAAGTCGAAAAATAAAGCGCCAGTTGACAGTTCTAAAAGCCGAACTTCCCATCCAAGAAGGCGCGTCAAAGCTGATTATGCTTTGACACAGTCAATACCTTTTGGTGGGTGAAGTGAGAGAGGATACAGATGAGATACGAATAGGAGCCAAGTTAGAACAAGTGAGAAGTAATCACACCTTCTATGCGGTTCTTTAATATATGTACATATATACCAGTGCTCCCTCCCCTTCGAAGAGGCTCACACTGTTTGTGTATTGAAAAATTGATTTTTTTTTGGTTCATTATAAGGCTAGCAAAAAAAAGGACTCAAGATTTAATTTAGAACCATCACATGCACTTGTCTGCGCAAACTTTAAGAGTTCGATCTTACCTCTTAGAGCCATCTTGAAGGGAAAGGGCACAGAGACAGTTTGATTCCACTGCTGTGCCTCCCCATAGCAACATGAAATGAACAAGCAACTTACCACGTTTTCAGAACAAAAATTGTTAATGTTTACTTAGTGTTCTGCAGTTAACAATGATAACGATTGATAATTGCTTTGGATAGGG